TTCATGGGCTTTCAGAACGCTAGACACGAGTTCTTCACAAATATTTCAAAATATGAACAAGAACGCAAACCCCCTTTATTGAGCCATACTACCAAAATCGTTGTGAAAGGACTTTGCCCCCGCCAACAAAAGAGACGGACAGCGCTGATGAATACGCCAAATTGCATTACACGTATACGTATAGATGATATACGAGCACATTTGCGAGATGAGTTATAGAAAGCATTGATCCGCCGTGGATAGTAGATGTCATATCAAATATCTCGGTCCAGATTCAAAAGAATAAAAAGAATCACAAACCAAAAGTATGTAGGCAGATGAACTAATAATTAGCGGGCACCCTGAGAAAGAAAAAGAGCAACACACAGAAAGGGCTCTAAAGTCAAGGATCCCTGTATCACGCGCATACACAAAACTTTGATATATATTACGGTACACAAAAGAAGGAAAAGGAAAAAAAAGAACAGGAACAATAAACATGAACGAACATGACCCCCTCCCGGTGTAATTCACCCACAGTAGCGCGATCGCGCGATCCGGATCGCGCGATCGCGAAGTCTGAACGCGCTCTAAGCGGAAATTGATCGTGCATGAACCCGAGAACCATTACCATTACCTTCCTTGTAGGAATATCTTGGGCGCAGTTGTGCTTGGTGTGGGCAATTCACTCAATCCTTAGATCACTGCCGATGATTGATGGAGTTATGTTATTTCCGCTTCGCACAAACTTGAGAGAAATCTACAGGTCCCACCAAGGTGACACGGATGACCTAACAGGAACAAGCAAAAAAAAAACTGACATGCTGGGAATTCTCACCACCCCCGGGCCAAACAGCGCTCTATTCTATACAACTTTGAGCTTCATTGGAGTGTGACTTGCACGATTTGGGTCGTATTAGCACCTGAGGGAGCAGCCGAAAACTCACTAATTTCAACCTCCCAGTCGCGCCGGGTACTATTTATTTAACTCTAATTTAGGAGAAGAATAAAACTCACTCTTCCATTCGTATATCGGGAATGGTGCGATTCAAGGAGATCATGTCACTAACATACGTATTGAACCCAAACTCTTGCTCAGCTCGTTTCGACTCTCGCAATCCGACCGCATCACTGACGACCACTGCCAAGCCGCCCTCACCTGAACTAACACAATGAGGTCTCATGTTGACGTTTCTATTGCAATATAAACGAAGGTATTCAGTCTTGTCCCTATGCGTGTCGTAGGGCTGGGTATGACGCGGCGCCAGCTCGTACTGCACCTTGTGGAAGCTGGAAAGCGACCACATTTGGTGGAGAACGATTGACGATTGACAGACATCGAGCAGAACCCGGCTCTCTGACATTTCCCATTACCCGCAGCGGACAATACTGTACTCTACAGCCACTTCACTTATTTTCTGGGTTGCAAAGTCTTTAAATTTAACTGGCGCCAAGGGAGAAGCCACTTGAATTGAAAGGAATGGTCAAATATAGCAGACCAAATTACATTCTTTTAGCGTAAGCGGGGCTGTAGTTACTGCGAGAGTGACTATTTGGCGGCTGAGAAATGCACACAGCACCCTCCCTATGCTGCTTACTCGGGGCCTTTGAGCCCTAGACCTCGAAATAGCGCCTTTATCCTCTAGGTCACATGCTAATTTAATAGTCACAGAAGCGTGGAAAGCCTGATTATTCCGGGCAGGAGCCAACTCGGGGTCACCCCCGGCTGTAAGCGGTGATATCACTCACGTAGAAAGCTGTCTGAAATGCGACTCTTCGATACGTTAAATAATTTATTTTAGTAGGGGCGTCGGAAAGCGGAAAGCGCATGTTTTCCACGAACTATTGTTTCATGAATGAACTGCTTACACTGACTTGCATGCATCCGCGTAAGTTGAACTCATCACAAATGAGACAAGCCTATAATATAAAAGAGGACTAAAAAGAGAAGTGCACTTCCAAACTGAACCCCCTCTCCTTCATATGTCTCAATTCAGAATAGATTGTTCTGCAGGATCACCAGCCCCTCAATTCACTCTGGAATCAAATCAGTTCCAAAATGCCAGACACTAGTGAGCAAAAAGACGTCTAATTTGATGCAGTTTTGCTAGTCGAAGATTAATGCGTGAGAATATGCCACGTTTCGGAACACGTCATTGGCGGGAGAGGGATGAGAAGCTTCCGGCAAGAG